AGACCATTTATATCATTTATTTCATTGTACCTGGGAATCTTGTATCTTTATCTGCTGCCTACATGAGCTGTCTTTATGCCCAAACCTATTTAATCCCAAGTAGACTGTTGATAAAAGCAGCTACTATTTATTGAAATACAGCTGTGTGAGATCCAACTATGTGTTGGGGCTAAGAGGTAGAATCAATAATTAAGTTAGATCTGTCCAGCTCTAAACTCTTTGGGAACTTGGACTGCATTATAGGGCTTCCCAGCATGTTTGGATGTATGTGTGTGGTGTGCTTTGGAGGGCTTCTCTGTTGTTTTGGGGGCTTGGTGAGAGGAGGAAGAAGTTGGTCATAATTTTCACAAACCCTGTTAACACTGCTTCTAAAATATGGAATCTTTTATAATATCCCTTTCTTGAGAGAGATTCTTTATTAAGTACCTCAGTATATTTTAAATTGTAAATGTCTTGCTGAACTGCCATTATTTGGTAGATTCTAGGGTCAGAATTTTTGGGAAGCACTGTAAAACCAGATTTAATAAAAAATAATGTATTTTTTGGAAAGTTTTATGTTCATATCTTTGTCCACTTTTCTGATATGTTTTACATTTTCATTGTTGGTTTGTAAGGGATTTTTGTTTTGTTTGTTTTGTTTGTTTTTCCATCATGTTTAACCACATTAAAGAATGCAAATAAATAAAAAGATATTATTGTACCTATTGATGTGGATAAAAGTGATAATAATTTTTCTATTATAATACCTAGTGTTTGCAAGGAATACACTGTTCATGGGAAAACTGATGCACCCCTCTGCAGAGCAATTTGGCAGTATCAAAACGTCTAACAAATATGCTTATTCATCTTGAGCCCAGGTTTTGTACTTCTAATTAGTCATTTCTCATGTGTGTATATTTGAAAATAAGCTAAATGTCCAATAATAAGATGTTGGAGGTAAGAAGTATGGAATGTTGTACAGACCTTAAAATCATTGAAGAAAAATATTTAATACATGGGGAAAATGTGCATAAGAAGTTAATTTAAAAGGCAGGTTATAAAGAGCTTGTACTGTATGTTCCTAATTTAAAAAATTTTGTATATATAAGTGAAATAAAGTATGTAGACTTTGGATTCTAAATCAAACAAGCTAACTGTAAAAAGACATTTTGGAGACAGAGAAAATCAAACATGGACTAAGTATTAGATGAAACTGAGTATTTGCTATTTTGTTAGGTATGATAATGACATTTTAGTTTTTTTAAGTGTTCAGTGTTAGAGACACATACTGAAGTGTTATAGGGTGAAATTATGTGAAATCTGGAATTTGCTGCACAATACTCAAAAATAAAGGAATTAGATAAAACAACAAAAAATAACAAATAATATAGTAGCTAATAATGGAATTATCAAAAGATTTAATTTAATAATAGAATTTAATAATAGAATTATAATAATAGAATTATCAAAAGATAATTATAAGAAAAGATAATCAAAAGAATTATCAAAAGAAGTATTATTTTTAGTTCCTTAAAAACCACTTGTTTAATTATAAACAGTATACTAATTATAACTGCAAATTATTTTATGCATTAAAACAGCTGAACCTTTGCTTTTCATGCATAATATGCTGTATATTCTCTCAAACTTAGTAAAATATTTGTGTAAGCATTCTATGATTCAGAGAGACTTTCTAGGCCAAATTAGTGTGGCTTATTTGTGTATATTATGAAGTATTTCGGACACACTAAAAGGCTTAAAGAATAGTAATTTATACTATCCCTATACCTAACATCCTACTTAAGATATAAAATGCAACCAAGTATAATTGAAACACCGGATTTACTTCTCCCTAATTGCATAATCCTTTCTCTGCCTCAGAAAGAACAATTAATCATCTCCTTTTAAACATAATAAAAGCTATGCTTTTGAACTTTACGTAAATGGTAGTGTATTCTGATGCTTTTGCAGCTTGATTTTTTTCCGTTCACCGTACTGTTTCTGAGATTTCATCTGTGTTGATGTGCATAGTTCAGGTTCATTCATTTTCACTGCTTGAACTAATTTCATTGTATGAAAATGTCATAATTATCTATCCTCCTGCTGATGAACATTTAGCCATTTCCAGTTTTTGCGATTAACAAATGACGTTACTATTAATGTTCTTTTACAGTTCTCCCTGTGCCATGTGTGAGAGAGTCCCCAGGACACCTACCTATGAATGAAATTGCTGGATTGAAAGGTTTGTGAATCTTCAGCTTTACTAAATGTTGCCAAATTGTCTCCAAAAGTAGAACCTGTTTGGATGCCAGCCTTAACTGGTTGTGCACCCTTGCCAACACTAGGTATTGTCAGACTTTTTTGTTTGTCAGTTTGGTGAGTAATAGATCTCATTGTTATTTTGAACTTCACTGATTACTGGTGAGGTTGGACATCTTTTCTTATGTTATTAATATTGCAGGGTTTTTTTCTTTTGGAATTTTATTTTTAATATAGCAGGTTCTTATTAGTTATCTATTTTATACATATTAGTGTATATATGTCAATCCCAATCTCCCAGTTCATCCCCCCACCACCCCCCCCCCCCGCCCCCTCCTGCCTGCTTTCCCCTCATTACAGGTATTCTTTTTAGTACTTGCATATTATGGCTGTAAGTTGTATGCAAAGTTGAAAGCATGAAGTAGTTGCTACTAGTTAGAAACATACCATAATTTTATTTTTAGAACATTGGCAACTTTGCAGATTTTTTGGAGGAAATAGTTTGGGATGATTTTTCGAACACTGCAGTAGAGAGTGCATGGGATTTTGAATTAAATTAGTTCTTGAATCCTGGCTTCATTTTTTATCAGCTGTATGACCTTGGGCAATTAGTGTAATCTCTCCTGAGTCTTTCCTCATCCTTAAATGAGTATAATACCTCCTGGTTTGATGATAGAATTAAATCTGTAACAGTTTTTGCCTGGTCATCAAAGAAACACATGGTCTTATATTACCCTGATGGCAGATTATGTGTTTTCTGTTGACTAATTCTGGATGCTTTTCGTCGAGTGCTGCTTTCCGTTGGTCTAATTGGGAGCAGTACTTGTTGGAATTAAGCGTTTGGTTTTCCAGAAGGAGCACATAATAGAGGACTCCCTTCCAATCCCACCATATACACAACATCATCTTTTTTGGATGAAGAGCGGCCTTTGGTGTGGTCAGTGGTGGTTCATTTTGCCTGTCCCACGATCTCTTCCATTCCACATTATTGTACAGTATCCATTTTTTCATCACCTGTCACAATTTGTTTTAAAAATGGAACGTTTTCATTATGTTTAAGTAGAGAATCGCATGCGGGAATATGGTCAAGAAGGTTTTCTTTACTTAACTTATGTGGAACCCAAACATCAAAGCAATGAACATAACCAAGCTGGTGCAAATGATTTTCAGTGCTTGATTTGGATATTTTGAGTATGTTGGCTGTCTCCTGCGTGGTATAATGTTGATTCTTCTCAATTACTGTCTTGGTTTGATTGCTACCAACTTCAACTAGTCTCCCCGACCATGCAGCTTCATCCAGCGAGAAATCTCCAGCACAAAACTCCGCAAACCACTTTTGACACGTTCAGTCAGTCACAGCACCTTCTCCATACACTGCACAAATCTATTGTTTTACATTTTGGTTTCGTTTTTACCTTTCTTAAAATAATAAAAGCATAATATGCTGAAAATGTTGCTTTCTTTCTTCCATCTTCAATATTAAAATGGCTACACAAAAATTCACCAATTTTTTTTTAATCAATTTATTTATTTTTGCTGTGTTGGGTCTTCGTTTCTGTGTGAAGGCTTTCTCTAGTGGTGGCAAGCAGGGGCCACTCTTCATCGCGGTGCGCGGGCCTCTCACTATCGCGGCCTCTCTTGTTGCGGAGCACAGGCTCCAGACGCTCAGGCTCAGTAGTTGTGGCTCATGGGCCTAGTTGCTCCGCAGCATGTGGGATCTTCCCAGACCAGGGCTCGAACCCGTGTCCCCTGCATTGGCAGGCAGATTCCCAGCCACTGCGCCATCAGGGAAGCCCCCCAGAATTCACCAATTTTGATGTCTTTTTTTTTTCCCCCCTGGTACGCGGGCCTCTCACTGTTGTGGCCTCTCCCGTCGCTGAGCACAGGCTCCGGACGTGCAGGCTCAGTGGCCATGGCTCACGGGCCCAGCTGCTCCGCAGCATGTGGGATCTTCCCGGACCGGGGCACGAACCCGTGTCCCCTGCATTGGCAGGCGGACTCTCAATCACTGGGCCACCAGGGAAGCCCCGATAAGTCTTTTTTTTAAATGCACTCTGATATGACAGCTGTCACAATACAATCTAACAATTGTTTTGAATGAAGTTAAAGACAACCAAGTGCTACTAGAGCCATCTTACAGAAAAAAATGAAAGGTCCTTTTGGACAACCCAATACATAGTTTTAGGATGAAATAAACATATTCAAATAATAGTGTGGAAGGTGGATGATACCGTGGCACATGATTAAATCCTTCCTGAAATCTGGCAACATTTGTGAAATTAAAATGCAGGCTGGGGCTTCCGTGGTGGCACAGTGGTTAAGAATCCACCTGCCAATTCAGGAGACACGGGTTCGAGCCCCAGTCTAGGAAGATCCCACATGCCGCAAAGCAACTAAGCCCGTGCGCCACAACTACTGAGCCTGTGCTCTAGAGCCCGTGAGCCACAACTACTGAGCCCGCATGCCACAACTACTGAAGCCCGTGTGCCTAGAGCCCGTGCTCCTCAACAAGAGAAGCCACCGCAGTGAGAAGCCTGCGCACCGCAACGAAGAGTAGCCCCCGCTCCCGGCAACTAGAGAAAGCCGGCGCGCAGCAACGAAGACCCAACGCAGCCAAAACAAAAAGAACAAAACAAAACAAAATGCAGCCTGATAGTTGATGCTAATATAAGTGTACTTTATCTCAGGGCCAAATGAGGAGATCGCTGGTGTACCAAACCAGAGTGGTCACATGTTTAGTGCAACCCACTTCTCCCCATACATGCACACCCACACCCTTGAGTCAATTGTGTTCATCTTCTGTGCCCTGTCAGTTTTCGACCAGTCAGAACATCAGTGACTGTGATGAAGCTGTCCAGGATCGTAGTGGGTAGGTGGGAGTGACCTTGGGACCCTTTGGTTGCTCCGGAATCTGGCCTGGGTTTGGGGACTGTGTTGTTAACTGTGCAGTGTGGGAGAGATGGGCTGGGTGCCCAAGAGCTGATGGAGGAAGTACAGGCTTGTAGATAATTATGAGTTGATGTTATTGTCCCCTTGCCACAGGAATTTCTTCACATGGCTTCCGAAGACGTGACCATTACGGTTCGCCTCATTCGTTCATTTGAGCATCGCAATTTCAGACCTGTAGTATATTATGGAGTTCATTTGGACCAAACTGTAAAGGAATTTATAGTATTTCTAAAGCAAGGTATGAGACATCTCAGCCACTTTGTTTTATTAGTGTTTTGAAAAAAATTGTTGACTATTAGAATGATAGTAATCTTTGAAAAACACTTGGAAAGATATTAACCTGTGTTCTAAGCCAGGTGTGAGGCTGGCTCCTGCTCTGGGCCTTGGCATCAGCGGCAGTGTTTCCCTGAGGCTTATTTAGCAGCATGTTTTCCCTCATCAGAGATTGTCACTATCATGTTTGGCTTCTCCCTTTTTTAATTAAAAAAAAATTAAGGTCTGTGTTTGCTTGTAACAAACGGGTTTATGTATTTGGAGACTGATTAGTAAGAGAATGTAGTGTTACCCGGCTGAGCACAAGAGGGCCTTCTGGGGAGTGTGACAGGAAGGTGGCAGGCCTCTGTACAGCCAGGAAATCATGAGAGCTGCTGGTCATTGTGGGTACAGAAGTGACAGGCAGCCTCACTGGTGCTACTGTATCATTTCAAGCTTAACATACAGCAGGCTTGAATTTAGTCTTCATTTTGATTGGTCCTTGGTGGGTTTCTAACCTCTGTTTTCAATTACTGAAGTGTTCCAATCATCAACATTTGATGAAACATCTAGAATAAGCTTTTATTATTATCTTATGGTATAATGTACAGATCTTAGTGTACTGTTCTATGAGTTTTGACAGATGTAGTACTTTATATCCAACTTACTTTTTAAAAACTGACATAATTTCAGACACAGAAAAGTTGCAGAAACTTCTGGATGCTCTTCACAGATTCCCCAAATGTCAACATTTTGTTAACATTTGTTTTTCTCTCTCCTCCACCTACCCGCTTCCTCTCTTGCTCTCCCACTTCATTTTGTTCTCTGAACCTTTTAGAAGTATGTTGCAGACATGATTCCCTTTAAATATTTCAGTGTGTATTTTCTAAAAACAAGGAATTCACTTACATAAACATAGTACAGTGATGAAGATCAGGAACTTAACGTTGGAACAATGCTATTATCTACTTTACAGACCTTATTGAGATTAATTAATTAATTAATTCCTTTAATCTGAGTTAACTTCTTTATCCTGGAGCCTTTTATTGTATTTCATCACATTGGCAATTTTGAATAGTACAGTCCAGTTATTTTGTAGAATGCAGGTGGGTTTTTCCAGTGTTTTCTCATTATTAGATTTAGGTTATGCTTTTTCTCCCCTCCACAGTTTCCCCTATTATTAACATCTGACATTAGTGTGCTGTATTTGTTGCAATTAAGGAACCAATATTGATGCATTATTCATTACAGTCCATAGTTTCTTCAGGTTTCCTTAGTTTTCAATTTCAAATCATTGAAACAATGCTGACTTCTCAGTGCATTTACACCAGGATGCACATGCTGTCGATTGCCCCCATTAGTGGCAATGGTGACTTTAATCAGTTGGTTAAGGTGATATCTGCCAGGTTTCTCCACTGTAACTTTTTATTGTAATTGAAAATTAACTTATAGGGGTATATTCTGAGACTATGTGAATGTCTTGTTGCTTCTCAAACTTTCATCCACTAGTTCAGCATCCTTTGATGATTCTTACCTGAATCAGTTATTATGATGATGATTGGCAAATGGTGATTTTTCTTATTCCATCATTCCTTTTAGATACATTAGTTGTTTTTCTACAGTAAGGAAGAGCTTTTTACCCTACCCCCCCCATTCTCACCCCCCGCCCCATGTATTTAATCTTTTGTTTATATCACTGTGGACTCAAGAATTCTTACTTTATTCAAAGGGTTATAATTCTTTACTATTATTATTTTATTTTGATGCTCTAATCATCCCCATTTTGGCTGGCGGTAGCCCCTTCAGTCTGGGTCCATGTCCTTTTAACATGTCCCCAATCCTTCTTTGAGCATTTCCTTACTTTTTGGTCTAAGATGTTCCAGACATGTCCTGTTCTTTCTCTGCCCCAGGCCTGGGATCAACCATTTCTCAGAGGAGCTCTGATTCTTTTACTGGAGAATGTTATTGGGAGACCAAGATCTTGGTTTATGTGTGTGCAATGTAAGTGTGTATAGCTAACTTTAAAAAATGTAGTTAATTCTTGACATTTTATTTCCTGATTGACTTTGTAAAATTTCTAAACTCTTCTCCCTTACTTTTTTTTTTTTTTGGTCTAATTTTGAGTGGTTTCACTGCTCAGTATTACTTGCTTAAGAAGAAAGTGAGGTATATAAACCCATAAGGAAAATGGACTAGTCGGTCTACTTGTTATGGAGAGATTGAGAGTTGGTACTGAGATATTGCAAATTAAAGAGGGTCCTGCTTTTGAAAAGATATTGCCAAAAGCATATTCAGGTTTTGAAATAAAAACAAATCCCTACATTTTTTATTTTAAAATCTTTGTGTGTGTGTTATGGGTTACAGTGTTTCTTACTGTTAATACAGTGAGTGCTGTGGTGTTCTTGGTACAGTGCAGAATAGGTTCTCTGTAGTCCTTGAGAATAAGATGTAATCTTCAAGCTGCTCCAGTGCCAGGGGCAGATGTATTCTCCTGCGGGTCACTGTGTTCTTTCCTTCCCAAGTACCATAGAATGATCCCCATTAGAGCAGTGGTGTGGATCACAGCTAGATGCTCAGCCCAGCCTACTCACATCTTTCACCTGTGCTACTAATAATATATCCACTACTTGTTTCTATTGTGCATGTGGGAAATGTGTTCCACTGATTAAAAGGTAAACTTTGGGGTTCAGACCTTTTTGACTTGTGTGCTCTCTGCCTATCTTTGTCATCTGATTTGAGGTACTGTGGAACTCTGCAAAGCTGGTGAATTTACCCTTTATGAATTGTGTACATAACAAAGACCAAATAGCTTATTACTGAGAAATTTTTGAACTAATAATAATAATAGCAAGCATTACTATGTATCAGATACTGTGCTAAGAACTCTAAGTAGGTTATCTCATTTCATCCTCACAGCATCCTTCTAAATTAGGAACTGTTATTATCTCCATTTTACAGATGAAGAAACTAAGGAACAGAGAGAGAAGTGAAGAAACTTGCTTGAGATTACATGGCTAATACAAGGCAAAGCTACAGCCCAACCCAGGCTGTTCAGCTGTACATCATGCACTCCTAAACACTACACTAAGTTGCCTCTTTATTTTTGTCTACTGCCTTGCTTGCTTAAGAGGATCCCTGAAGTAAATGGATTCACTCAGTGTCAAAAGAGTCTTTGAATTTAGTTCATCTTGCTCTAGTGTTTTTTTAAATTGAAATATAGTTTATTTACAGTGTTTCAGGTGTACAGCAAAGTGATTCAGTTATATGTATATATATATATATACATATTCTTTTTCATGTTCTTTTCCATTATAAGTTATTACAAGATATTGAATATAGTTCCCTGTGCTATACAGTAGGTCCTTGTTTACATATTTTATATATAGTAGTGTATATCTGTTAATCCCAAATTACCAATGTATCCTTCCCACCCCTTACCCTTTGGTAACCATAAGTTTGTTTTCTATGTCTGTGAATCTATTTCTGTTTTGTAAATAAGTTCATTTGTATCATTACTTTAGATTCCACAAATAAGTGATATCATATGATGTTTGTCTTTATCTGACTTACTTCACTCAGTATGATAATCTCTAGGTCCATCCATGTTGCTGCAAATGGCATTATTTCACTCTTTTTTATGGCTGAGTATATATATGTATATGTATTCCATTATATATGTACCACATCTTCTTTATCCATTCATCTGTCGATGGACATTTAGGTTGCTTCCATGTCTTCGCTATTGTAAATAGTGCTGCTATGAACATTGGGATGCATGTATCTTTTCAAATTAAGAGTTTTCATCTCTTTCAGATATATGCCCCAGAGTGGGAATGCTGGATCATAGGGTAACTCTAGTTTTAGTTCTTTAAGGGACTTCCATACTGTTCTCCATAGTGGCTGCACCAATTTTCATTCCTACCAACAGTGTAGGAGGGTTCCCTTTTCTCTACACTCTCTCCAGCATTTATTATTTGCAGACTTTTTGATGATGGCCATTCTGACTGGTCTGAGGTCTGGTCTGACTGGTCTGACCTCATTATAGTTTTGATTTGCATTTCCCTAATAATTAGTGATGTTGAGCATCTTTTCATGTGCCTGTTGTCCTTGCTGTAATGTTTTGAACACTTAAAGCTGGAAGGATGTTTGACATTGTGGCATAGCAAATCTTGCACACAGACAGAAATGTTCATTGTGGTGAATGACCTTTTGGGGTTATTTTAGATGCCTTCTTGCCTTTCTAGCTGTTTTTTTCTTATCATAGTCACTTTTTGCCATCCATAGCTTAACCTTGTCTCTTCCCATAATTGTCTGTATTTCTCCCTTAGCCAAGAAACTTTGGTTAAATTTGATCCATTCTGCATTGAGAATCATTGTACCACTACACCATGCCATTAAAATCTAAAGCTGTATAAGTATAGTACATAAGTATAGTAAATGTAAACTAACACTTACAAATAAGTATAAATATATCAATAATAAATACTTAAGATTATATTTATATGTAAGCATATAAATATAATAAAACAAATAAATCTATTATTAACATATCTGATGTTAATCAGATATTCCAAACACAGAGGTACCATATATTACCTTATATAGATGACAGATTTTCTAGATTCAGAATAAATAAACGAACCAATTCTCTAGATAATATGACATTTTAATTATTCATTGATTTGGAAGCATTTTAATACTTTGTAATACTTTAGATCTTGATTCTGAATGTAAAATGATTTCATCTGTTAAATAGAGGAAAGCTGTGGAGATTTTATCCAACCTTCCAATTCAGAACTCATTCTTCATACCCTGTTACTCCTGGTGATATGTTACTTTGTAGAGCAGTCTATTCTATTGGGTGACTACTAGAATAGTTAGAAAGATTTTCTTTATCTTTTTAATTTTTATATTTTTGTTTATATCTAATTCTCCCCTCCACAGTTTCCCCTATTATTAACATCTTACATTAGCATGCTGCATTTG